TGCAGTTTTTTTTTCTTTAATTTGTGAGCCGAGAATAGACGTTCTATTTTATAATTGGTTCAATTTATTTTTCTCTTCCTGAATGCTACTTGTCTACCGGCCATCATTATTTTCTTTAATTTTGTATTTTGCTAATGTCCGTTTTTCTTTACGACTAAGCTCTCAAGTTAAATTAAACTGAAGAAATTGCTCATAAAAATTTGCGAATAGACAACCACACTTCAACAGTTCGTCATTGAAATATATTTTGTCAACGAGTATATTTTACCAAATCACGTTGGATTTAATATTTTTCAAGCAGTTTCAATCCCATTTTTCATTATTAGCCCTTTGAACACTGCGTTCATGAACAATTTTAACCCTTCTGCTTGAACACCTGAGTCAAAATTCGCAAGTAATTGGTATGTAATGTTTCACGATAGATATAAAAATAGTTTTAAAAGAAAGCATTATACTTAGCAGGGAGAGAATATGATTGCATGCCTTCACTTTATCGCTAGAATTCTTTCTTTGTGTGACAATCTACCCAAATACGACAATCAATAGCAAAACACGACGCCAGTGTTTACCCACCGTTCGACCGGTGGCTGGGCATTTGGTCATTTTTCTCTACCACCGGTAAACCGGTGGTCATGGCTCAAAGCGTTAATAATAAGACGCAGGGTGTATTTTGAATGCGTCTGCTATCATGAACATATTTTTTTTATTTGAAATAATGTGTTTTGCATACTGTCACATATAGTCATCCAATTCACATTCCTCCCCGACTTTTTGAACAAAAGTAGAGGTTTATCCCGTGTTTTTTGTTTCCGTTTCGTTCTAAAGTCTACTTCAACTCTCCTTTTAACGTCTCCGCCTAAACTCTGAAATTTTATTTATTTATTTTTTCCTCTATAGGAGTAGATAGCTTCGGCTATTGTCCGGTTCAAAAACATCCCTAGTCTTTTGAACAGGAGTAAAAAGTTTATCCTTTGTTTCCTGATTAGGATTGGGTTTCCGGTTCCTTCTAAAGTTTTCTCATTATTTTTCACTCCCAGTAGCCCCTTGCGTCTTAGTGGCATTATCATGTTGGATTTAATATTGTTTTTCAATTGGTTTTAACCACATTTTTTATATAGCATTATTAATGAAATAAGTTTTAACTGGGATCTACAAGAATTTGACTTTGTGGGCGAATTGGTTGTGTACACCAGATAAATGTTTCTAACCTTGTAAGGCTTTTTTCTTTAGTGGTTGTTTCCTGGAGTTAGGTATATCGACTAAAGTTATGTATATACTTACCTTATACTGGCAGAGTGCCACCAGTGTGGGGACACCTGGTGAGAATTAAACTGAATATTGTGCAATAAAGGAGTGTGGTCTGCTTCATCAGGAGCCCAACATTAGAAAGATTATTTACTCTCATCAATAGGTCTATTTTAGTAGGACAATGAGTGACGACAGACTTCAGTACACATATGAACTGGACACTGGAACAACAGTCTTGCTAACAATCGCATTCTTTAATAATTTCGGACTGAATTTAGCAATTAAACTATTAAAAAGGTTTTATATAAAGCTCATGGTACCTTCTATAAGTGCTGTTCGTGAGATCCTATGATTTTTTTATATCAATGAATCCGTTAGAAGTAAGTACTACACTTTAGATCTAATATATTTTCGAAAACAAAGTAGAATGGTACCAATATATTCTAACAATATTTTATGTAGCATATACAGACAGAAAAATAGATAAATAAATAAATAATAACAAGGAGGCCAACATGTCTCCATCTATAACAATAGATGTATATTCAGAATCACCAGAGCCATATTTCGACCAACCAATCACAAAGCTTTCAAAACCATGAAAAAATGCCGAGTGCTAATTCGAAGCAAAGCGGCATTTTCGAAGCGGATATCAGGATATGTAAATTACAAGTTTGAAAATCAACCTAAATCAGAATCGATGAATTAATTTTGTTCATTCTCCGATGCTGTGGTCATCATAACATACCCAGTGCCGAAATACGACATTTGTGTGACTCGCTGGCGACTTTAGACGGCTACAATGTTCTACTACATTTTAAAACATACTTCTTTCACCACCTTTAAGTAACACACTAATACATTTGAAAACATACATACCTTCCTTCAACAGCATTGTTAAGCAGCCAGCTACTACTTTGGGATATACACACATACATATACATACATATTTACTTTCTCCCAGTCGCACGCTCTGTGTGTGTGTGTGTGTGTGTGTGTGTGTGTCTCGTATGTGCCTGGACGTTTACACTTGAACTCTTGAAACTTCGATTTTCACCTTATTCTTCTGTATTTTTATATTTAAGATTTATTTTGCATTTAACAACATTGTATAGTTTATTTTAATCATTACACAAGGCTAATATTTGGTTTAGTTGATTTTGTTTAGCGGCATATCAACAACTCTCTGGGTCATTTAATACTGAAATTTAAATATTTTGAACACAATTCTATGGCTTCAACTAAATATATTTTGAACGCAATTGTATGCTTACAACTAGATAAAATGTATTGTTGGTTATTTTGCTTTAAAATGTATTTTTTGGTCATTTTTTTTTATATAAAAATGTATTGCTGGTATTTTTACTATAAAAATGCATTTTTAAACTTTCATAGTGTTTTGCTTGTCGATAACTAGGACCCTACCAGGTGCTACCACCCTGAGTCATGGTGGAGTTGAGAACAACAATAATTAAGAGGTGGTTTCATGCTACTCAAAACCTTCAATCTCCTGATCAGAGGCCATGTTGCCGGATACAATGATAATACACAAAACCATAATAGATATAAGGTAGGAACAGACGTTGCCATGAGATAATTTTCCACAAATCTTCCATAACCAATAAACTAAAATCATTAACCCAGGAGTTCTCATACACCCCTTTCACCATTTGTCAGAATGCCATTCCCCCACCCTCCTTTGCCAAGTTGACAGGCCAAATTCTATAATTGCTCAACCCCGCCCCACCCAACACAAAAAAAAAAAAAAATTACTGTTGTCACAATTCACCCCTGAAAATCCAAAATTGACACCCTAGATGGGAATTTCACCCCTGTTGAGAACCCCTGCATTAACCCCTTTGAGCTTTTCGTTTCTGAAAATTTTAACCCTTCTGCCTGAGCTGCTGAGTCAAAATTCGCAAATAATTGGTATGTAATGTTTCACGGTAGATATAAAAATTGTTACAAGCGTGAACCCACTGTTCAACCGGTGGCTGTGTATTAAGTCATTTTTCTCTATCCCTGTTCAACCCGGTGGCTCGACATTACGCCATTTTTCTCTACCACCGGTAAAGCTGTGTTCAAGTGTTAAGTATTTTTTGTAGAGGATTTAAAGCTCTTAATAAGCCAATTGATTAGTACATCATTTTAAATTTCTTGAGATCAGCGTTCAATTCTTACGTTAAATTAACAAATTTATTCAAAGATTGTTCTCAGATTTTTAATGCCTTCCTTATTTTTATTTCATATAAATATGTCGTCACTATGGCGGATATAAGTTGTTGGTTTCGGATGTTTTTAAAATGTTTCTTTTCTAAGGTTGAAATATAACATTAGAGATGAAAGAATAGGTAAAACCATAGCTTACGTTTCTTAACTCTATCTCCATCCATATATACCACCTGCTCTCTTGGATGGCATCCTGATTGGGATTTAAAGAGTTATGCTTAGCTTATTTTCGCACTAAACCACAAGTACAGGGCACTCAGTGAGCATCGGACTCTCGCTGGCTAACAATTGCACAATGGTAAAGTGTCTGTTCAACCGTTGGCTGGGCATTAAGTCATTTTTCTCTACCATTGGTAAAGCGGTGTTCAGGACTGAAAGGGTTAACAGAAATTTTCTTGGAAACCCTATCTATATCCTTTTAGGATTTATAAGGATTATCAGTTACACGACTGACGAGGCATTTCTTTCTGTGGTAGACCAGTTGCCATAAAAGGCTAAAGAACCCGGTCTGTCGTGCTATTTACTC